GGTGACTGGTTGTATTATACGCTATTTTTGGCAAACATAGTGACCATGGGTATATATTATACTTGTGAGCAGTAACTTTTTTTCTGTTTTTTATTTATTAGCTCAGGATAGGTTTTCTTGCACAATACAGTTACAATATTTAATCCTAATATGTATTTCAATATGAATACAACAAATATTGAATTTGAGTATTTAATTATTTGACTTTTACATTATGAACTTTTGTGAAATTTAAATTATAAAACATCGAAGTTCCATCTCTTTTCCGTATAGGAATTCATAAAGGTATGAAGTTTTATGTGCAAGATAACATTTTGCGACAGGCAGATTTCTGAATCAAAGCAGTAAGTTTGAATATTGCTTTCACATTTTCGAAAATGTGCTTTGATGAAGAAATCGTCTTTTTAAGTTGTTCCTATTAATAGTAAATTTAGAATCAATTGTTTCATTTCATTGAATTTAACGTCTATTTTTAATCAATTAATTTCTTGTTTATTGTCTGTATTTTCTTGAAATATTAGAATTTCAATAATTACTGAAGTCAGGAAAGTCTAGAGTCATTAAAATATGAAATAAAATAACAAAATGTAAAATCAGAGAATAGTAATTCATTAAATGCAAAATATATAAATTAATCATTTTTTTAAGCTTAGGATTTTCAGGTGTAATCCTTTCCATGTTCATTGTCAGGATCTCACTCACGTGCCCAGGTGCCACTTGGGTGGGAGAAAGACAATGGGCATGATAATCATAGTTTTTAAACTTAATGATGTTTTAGCGACTGACGATGTGTTAGTGTATCGTGCACGACGTATTTTCCGCATGTGTATGTATGGTTAGGATGTGGAATTGCGTCGTTTCTAGTATTATTCGAAATAATATTTGAAATATCAATATTATTCGAAATAAATAATATTTTTGAAAAAAATTATAAACAAATTTTACAAGTACCATTGGTACAAATACAATACTGTTTAATGTAGTAAATGATGAATACAAATATAGTAATTTTAATAAATGACGTGATAATGAAATATATCAAATATTGCATCAGTTATTTGAATAATGTCATTACTTCAGATAATAGACAGGTGATTATGAATATTTCTACAATGTTATTATGGATATTTAAATAAACATTAGAGTTGAAACATAAACAAAATGATGAAAATTAAGAATAAGCATTTTACGCAATGGTCGCTAGCCTTCGTCAGTCGATTTCAGGGAAATGGTACGTAAATTAGAGTGTGAATGTTGTGTGCAACACTTGGGTGTCGGAGGCGTTCCGGGACGTCCTCTCTAGGGTAGGCTTGCGCCTGAGTGTATGTGTGAGAACCGTGGAGTGCGTGTGTTGGTGTGCCTGCTTTGCCATTTTTTAAATATAGGGTGATTGATTAGGACAGGTAGCTTACCTTCTGGTGTGCCTGTGTTTAATTATAAGTA